CGGAGAGTTGATCTTGAAAGTTGTTGTCACAACAAAACCTTCAGGTCATTGCATCATGCGTTATTATTTGCGAACAATAAAGTGGAGCGGTGATAGTGCAGAGAGGCTCAGGAAGGAACGCGCCCGTTCCAGGGCACGGAACACACTCAGGCTGGCCGGGCTCTCCATGTTTTTCGGACCAGGCGGTTAAATACTTTATGAATATGGCGCCAGCTGGTCATTATGCAAGGGGTACCAATCTATGCATCCTGTAATATAATCGGATTCATGGCGTATCCTTGAAATTTATTGTCTTGTCATCCATAACCGGGATGATCTCTCATCTTCACTGATAGCACTATTATGTCACGGTGTTGCAGAAAACTTTGGCCGATATTTTCATTGCGTGTTTGCGCAGCTCCAAGTTCATCACTTCTGAATGAACGTCGAGACGGTTTGATTGTTCAGATGAGCCGCATAGAAGTGGGGATAAAGGCCGAAAAGATCATGCACCATTTACTTCGACATGCTCCTCTCCGTTGCTCTTCTGGCTGTTGGCCTTTTTAGTACCGTCAGCTCTCAGAGCTGTAGTGTGGCAACCACTAGTGAGTTTCTCCAACTCACCAACTTTCGCAAAAGATAACAGCTTTTTCTAGGCCCCTTGAATGGTTTCTGCCCTACAGGTTACACTCTTGTCTCGTCGGCATGCTGCCCTACCGGAAGTGTTATTGGTAAGTCTGGGAAATAGCTTCTAGGTACTGCTCAATTTTACCTTTTGAAATTTCAGCTGCCACAACCGCCTCATCATGCGTTGACAAAGTACGTTCTTTTCGACTCTGACCATATTCAGTTTCGTGAGAAAGCTTGGAATTTTTTCATACAAACCACTTCCAGACAAACCCGAACACTGGAAGATCAGACTGCCCTGGAATGAAGAGCTACTGTACGAACTCGGCATACTTGTCTCTCATGCGAGATCAATGTCCGCTCACTTGTGGATATTGTAGTGGTGAGTATCTCCCCCTCCAGCGGATGGTCGGATTGGCGTGAGGGGCTCGGCCTTGAGCGGGTTGGGGAGTCGTTTGTAAAGGTCTGTCGTTTATGCTGCTCAATGTTTAACGAGCTACAATCGGCGGTCAGCTTGGGCAGGTGAGGCTTTTCGAGTATCGGGCAGTAATTCTGCAGTTGTTGGCGGATGTACCTTGGTAGCTTCGTGCACTATATCCTAACTCGATTCTTGAGAGGTCAATCGGGTTGTCTCCCATTAGGTTGATGTTTTCAGGGAAACAGATTGATGAAACTATCTCAGGGATAAGAGAGTGACTAAAAGCAGCTTGGAAGTCTTTTCGACGCATTTTGGCCAGAGCACATATGTCAATGGGGTTTTGTTTCCAAAACCACATTCCTCAATCGGTTGCATTGATATGAGTGACACCATCTCATATGATAGTAAGTGGTTCGCCTTGAATAAGGGCTGGTCCTGCGATGCTCGTATAGGTAATATAGTCATTAAACATGGTATATTGCAAGCAGGTAGGTGGTGGAAGTGACAGGTACATCTGCACACATTTGCTAAGATAACCAAGATTTAACTACTGTTTACTGCAAAAATAGTTTATATCAATTTTTGGTTTTCATGTGTTGTTTGGCTGGGAGCCATGTGACCAACTGTCTTTTTCCAATGGCTGGTGATCTTTTTCGCATCTTTGACACAAATCATTCTCAAGAATTATATGTTTTGTCGAATGAAGCGGACTGTTTCAGTTATAGTGGAATGCTACAAGGCTATCACTATTGATTTTATTAAATGTGTCTTTGCTCTTCGTTAACCTAAGTTGGTTCTGATGACAGCTTTGCTTGTTCGGATGAGCTTGGGCGATATGACCTGTTGGAGCGTTTCACGTTTATCGCTGCTTGCCTCGCTTGCGTAGCAGCACCAATTGGTAGGTCAGGTTGGTCACATCAGAATGACCAGCGCAACCTAGGGCAGTAATACTCCTTCTATATAGCTTTTAGCTTTGATATTTGTCATTGGAATTATCTGCGTAAGTGATTTCGTTCTTTTTCGTACGGTACTGTATGTATATTGGTTTTTGTTTATGACTGAAATATGAAATAGTAACTATATTTATGCTATCCAGTCTAGCAGTAACCGCATGTCTGGGGCATATGTTCTCTCATCAGGGTGAGGTAGCCGAGTTGCGACAGTAAGCATACATTCCTGGGCACTCGTTCACTCCTGTTCGTGGGTTTTTCAGATCGACACAAGAACGCACAGTTGTTGTGACTCCAGTACCTGAATAAACAGTTATTTCCTTTCAATATTAACCATCACTGCAAGGGGACAAGGGTTGAGGAATCGAAAAATATTATTTGGATGCGTTGAAAAGTATACAGGGGTGGCCAAAAAAAAGAGACACTTGACTCCACATTTCAGACAGCATTAATCACACTTTGCTAATATCAAATCGACTACCCCCAACTCATTATTGAAGAGCACCTTTTAAATCTATCTAAACTTTATACGACAGCTTACCTACACCGACGCATCGTGAAGATTTTCACGGATATACAGGGGGGGCCAAAAAAAAGACATTTTGCCTATGTCGGACTTCGGCTCTTTTTTCTTCGCAGAGATTGCTGTCGTTGACGGGAGTTCCTCAGCAGAGTATTCCCTAAGTGTTCCTCTATTAGTGTACGCAGGCTCTCCTTCACTGCCCTCACCGTCTTCAGAATATGACGTCATCTGTCACCGTCGTCAGGCTCAAGGAGGTCTACCGTAAGAGCTTCAGCCTGAAGCTCTTACGCAATTTCGTGAATCGATTTAATGTTGGATAGTTTTCTAGAGGCATTAGCTACCACTGTGCAAATCCCCTCGGAACTAGCTTTCCAGTAAGGGTCGTTATGGTACACGATCCTTCGAAGACCCCATTGAGATCGACCAGTGCACCATGTTTCCAGGGCTAATTCTTCTGATGCCGTCCACGTACGTGGCCACTATGAAGATTTTCTTATAGAATGGAATGCACTCTTTAATAATAAGTTGGAACCGTTCGGTCTGAGTTGAGTAAAATGTGCTTAAATCCATCTGGAAGTGGAGGCAAAATGTCTTTTTTTTTTGGCCCCCCCCTGTATTCGCGATACGAGCTCAACGGGGTCGTCGAGGTACCATAGACCATTACGACGTCCCTGAAACGATGGTCAAAAGTGGTTTTGCATAGTCACAGCTAATGTCTCGAGGAAGCTATTTAATCGTCAATCCATTGAAGAAATCGTGAAGTAGCTTCAGGCCGGAGCGATTACGGTAAGCCTCGTTGAGCTCGACGGTGGCGGTAGATGACGTCATATTCTGGAGACGGCGGGGACAGCGAAGGAGGGCTGCTTCTACTTACGGGGGAACACCTATGGAGTATTACGCCGTAGAAGTTTCACTAACATCGGCACTCTGTGCGACGAAAAGTTCGATGAAGTGCGCCATGGCAAAGTGTC